ATATATATATATATATATATATATATATATGTCATTAACGTTGTCCACCGAAAAAAGACATTTACACATCTACAGTATTTGTGTCCGTGTTGTATCCGATATACAAACTCGAGGCGTAGTCGATATCTGATATCTGATAGAACACGGCCACTCATACTGCATATATTACATACAGGAAACAACGTCTTAAAATATATTATTTGGAGGATTCCTGGCGTAATGTAACCAATATCGGGTCGGCAAGTCTCAAGCCTTCTCATTATTTTTAGGCAGAAATAAGGAATTTGCTTCCTCGTATAATACGGCAAATGGATAAGTTCGGTAATCTTAGCCTGTGTACAGTCGCTTACAGGCTAGGTAAATGTAGCTTTCAGTAATATAAGCGGTATCTCTTTTCAGACGTCCAAAGGAGTTACATATACACGCTACAAGATTCACAGAAGCCAGCGGGAGTTCCCTGATTAATGATAGGGCAATATCTGAGGAAAATTAAGACAAAGATTCCGGCCCTAGCTGCGAACACTGCCGATGACCACGATGGCTACAAATGTTTACCCAGGTTTGTCCCATATTGACTCCTTATTGAAAGGTACATTACCGTATATGAGATATTATAGAGTTCTTCCAGAGTAAGGCATGAAAGGGTTTATTTAATTAGCATTTAGGGAGACATTTAGCTAAGGAGACAACTATTAGATACATAATAGTTTCACTTTGAGTATGAGCCAATAAAAGTTAATCTCGATCATGTCTCCCCATGACCTTAGTGAAGGATATATACGTCATCCCTCGGTGGATATGAGATATACCAACCCGAGACGAAGCCGAGGGTCGATACACCACATATCCACCGATCGAGGAATGAGGTATATCCGCCTTATATCATCACTAAATGAGGTTTCTTAAAACGCGGTTGCTATAACTACTAGATATCAATCTCCTCGGAGTGTTGATAACTAGTTATAAAATAATTTAGATAGTACGCGTGCGTTGATTGGCCTAGCGCCGTGTTTGCATTTCCCTGTGCAAACACGGTCGTGACTCGCGTCGACACCGGCGGTAAAATTTCTGTTTTGTTTGGAAGTTGTACTTGTACACAATTAGTCATAAGAATAAGAATATGGAGAATCTGGCTAGATTCAAGTTGTTCCTGAAAGCCAACACAACCAAGGAAGCTCCTATGTTTCGCAAAAGGTTCTCACACGACAGGAGAAATTCAACTTTGGAGCTCTATTTAGTGGATGTTCCATCGAGTCGGTCCGCGTTTCTTTCAACAACACCGACGGAAATCAGGATGTAATTTAGCGAGTTCTAGATCTCAAAATAGTGTTTTCTTTTCAGTCTAGAATGACTAAACCCATTGTTTCAGCTTTGGGATTATTATTTCATCTAGATCTGCTTGTAAAAGGCTCTTTCTCAAGGGAAAAAGTCGCTAAAGTTTGGCTTCTTCTCGCTTTGAAATAAAGATTGCAAATGCACAAGTATATAAGGAGAATTTGTATTTAAAACTTTGAATTAAGTTCCTCTGTTTTATTCAATCGTGTTTCGTTATTTTTGTTTTTGAAGAAAATGATTTTATAAAACAAATAAAATACATTTACTGTGTTTGCACACGCTAATACAAACCTCGAGCAGGTGCAAACACTCGCCAAGCCGCTCGTGGTTGCACTGATCTGCTCTTGAATTCTCCCAACCACATCTCGGTTTGCATTAGCCTGTTCAAACACAGCAAATGTATCTTATCAACCTGGACATTCCTCCGTTTAATTAAGTTGGGTGAATATGAAGGATAAGCCAGTAAACAAAAGAAATTGACTCAAGGATGATATATTTATTTGAATTTATAGTGAATTTATTTCGCCCGTCAAAACAGCAGCGATATTGAACAAATTAATTATGAACATGTTCTATTAGATGCATCTATTGAATGTTCATAAAATGTTTTGAACCTGACAATATGACTTTGCTTTTGACTGCATATACATTCATAAAATCAAGTATATTGTATGCAGAACAATACTACCCACCTTTATTACCAACTCTATTACACTTCGACTCTCATAAGCGTCGGAGTAATTTAATCTAAAGAAAATATTGTGTAAATAATCATAAACACTTTAATGATGGAGGCATCAATTTTCAACTCAAAGTTATTCTTCACTACTTCATTATATTTGTCTTTTCATTTGTTGTAACGACTTTAATTTTTTTTTAAATATCACGGGGGAAGTGAAATCACTCTCATTCGTCTTGGTGTAATGTTGGGAGTCTTAAGACTCGTTTGAATACAAACGAATTGTTTTCAATTCTAAATTCAATCAAAATATGTCAATCAAGTAGTCATAGGACACAGCGGTTTTTGAATAAGATAAGGTATTGCTACTGAAGTCCCTGTCCAACTTAGTCTCCCCCACAGCCGCTTTCAGTGTCGTCACGCAACGCTTTCTCCCCTGAGTAGCGGCTGCTTACCCGAACACAACATTCCTTTCCTATGAAAGGCAATCACGGCTTAGTTCTCTAAAACCAGGAACCATTCGCGCCATATGGAAAGCAAGATGCGTCGAAGGCTTCGAGATAGCAGCTAAGAAATTTCGCATCAAACAGTTTAATGATCATCAGAAAGACGCTATACGAAAGATTTTACAAGAAAAACAAGATTTCTTTGAAAAACTGCCTACTGGATATGGGAAATCGCTCAAAGGAATAAAATATTGGCGCTCTAGAGTATAGCCCAGCAATTTCTTTCGAGACAAGCTCGCTTGAATAACAGGAGTTCGAAGTTCTTGGCATTTCAAATAAACTGCTAACGCGACGTTAGAAGGTTGGCCATAAGATAACGCTTTAGCTAACGATTCGAGTTTACTTTTCACGACTTTTCTAACAGTGTGAACAAAACAAAATAAAACAGCTTTTCTAACAGTATCAAATTGAGCTAATCCTCGCAGTATACGCGAAGTAAATACCAGAACTGTGAGCGTTACCCAGAAGTTTACAATGAATACCCGTGGAAGTCAACGTTGTGACAGTGTCAGAATTAAAAGTTATCTAGCCTTTTTGCGATTTTCTTTAGCTTTACACTGCATTCGTTGTTTAAAATAAGTGATCTGCGCGGCTCATCTTCTTCGTTTATTCAAAATACTGTCAGACTTTATATTCGAATTCAATCTCTTAAATTTTGAGTCGTCTCGTTTAACTTCCATGAGTCTAAATAACGCTTTTTAAAAAAGTTTTCCAGCTTCTTTTTGCTTCTAATATTTTGGTACGAGCTCGATAGCAAGTACAAACTCGAATTCACTATCGGACGATTAAACAATGTCGATAGGTAAACAAAGAAAACACTTAGTTCCGTCCCCAATAATTTTTTGGGGGAGCATTAATCATTTAACAAGAACGAATTCAATTTTAATTTCCCAAAGATTTTGTCCAACTTCCACTCAATGCGTCTTAGGATTATTTCTCTAGTCTCGCGAATGTTTACAAGTTGTCAAATTCGAAACGTTTTGWTTGRTTCTTGAAACACAATGACACTTATCTAATTGGTTGAACACAAACAATAGGAAAGGAATGTTGTGTTCGGGTAAGCAGCCGTTACTCAGGGGAGAAAGCGTTGCGTGACGACACTGAAAGCGGCTGTGGGGGAAACTATCCAACTATGTCTAGATGAAAATATTAGACTTTTTTGACCTCTCAGTAAACAAAAAATATTAAATTACTTATCAGAACCTAATGAGATTGCATTAATTATACTCAAATTATACTCAGTTTTTAGAAGAAAAAAAAAACGGCGAGAGTATGTTGTTATTTGAAACCGGAAAAATTCTAATCTTGTGACCTTCCATAATTACTGTTTAAAAATCCTTTTTCTTGGCTGAATTTCAAACAAACTAGCATCAATGTAAATTTTGGTTTATGTGTATCAACCAATCAATCAATAAATCAATCAATCAATCAATCAATCAATCAATTTATTTATCCTACAAAGATGGATCAGTTAGAGGACTGGAGAGACCACCAGCTGGTATAAAAAATTATCTATGTAAAAATACAATATAAATTGAGCATACAAATATATACAAAGTTTTAAAATATCTAACTAGCATTAAATATATTAAATATATTTAGGCACTGCCTAAAAGCGGAGCTCCCGATACGCGAGTCACAGCGAGCCAGATTTGAACGAATGTGGAAGATAAAATTAAAATCCGGAAAAAAATCTTCAATTTTTTTATTCAATATTAAGATAATGTCTCCCATAATAAAAAAAACATGCACTGAAAACCAATCAAAATGCACTACATCCTTTTCTTTGCGAGAGAATACTCTCCCGATCCCACTTATATAAATTTTGTACACAACTCACCAGCAACCCCCCCCAGGGGCTAGTTTTTTTCTTGGAACATTCTTCGACAAAGTTTTCCATGGCCGACATTTTTTAAGCTTTGAATTCCTGGTTAATTTTACTTATAAAACGAAAGATAACTACAAATAATCCAATACAATATCAGGTTTAGTGAAATTTACATCGGATGTCTTTCAGTGAAATCGAAATTTTGGAGATTTACGAACTTTTATGGACAAATCAGGACTATGAAACAGACTTTAAAACTGGCGGTAAAAAAAAAAGGTGAGCAAAATACATAAGCTTACTTTTATTTCTTTTACACAAATAACGATGTTTGGTTAAGCATCAACATCAAAAGTTTTATTTTTTACAAGAACCGTATTTTCATTCATAAAAGTCTTAACTATTTTTCGAGAAGCTTGAAAA